CGAGAAATGAAATGGGGTCCTATTTTTCTACACCAACCGGTATAATGAACACATATATCACATACAGTGAACTTTACACCAACCGATATAATGAACGCATGCGTACAACATTCAGTGAGCTATAACGCATGCATACGCCATTCGGTGCGCTATGTCGAAAACATGGACTGTCCATCGTCGAATTCCAAGGTTTTTTTTACGTGCACGCCGAAATGTAGTAAAGAAACACAGTTTTCGTTCCATCCGAACCACTAGACCCCGTTCTTTGTCAGGTATCATTCTATAGTGGGTGCCGCGATGTTCGATTTAGGTGTTGGTCGAGAAAGTTCGTCAAGATTTTCCGTCGTGTCTCCCTCTTGTATACTCGTTCGTGTTAAACAAAAAATAGAGGCCCCAAGTACACGTAAAAGAACCCTTGACAGTATAAGTTCGATATAATAGTTATCCGTAGTGCTGTTGTTCGGGCAAAATTTCGCTCATAGCACACTCTGTGATATATGACCATCTTCAGAAGACCAGTTGATTTAAAACAGTAGGACGTTAGCCCTTATTTTATTGCACAATGTACTATAAATCGTAGATTCTGTCACGTTTATTCTTTAAGGTACAATATTTCGATATCTAGTGGACGTTAATCATCTCTCTCTCTCTCTCTCTCTCTCTCTTTGAGTTGTGAGCCAGGTGCTATAATAGTCCCTGGAGATGAATTCCCATATACAAACTAGGCCATAGGGGATTTGATGATAAATTTGGACTGAAAACATATTCTAACTAATTAATCTATCAAAACGTTGCTTCATATTCCTCTCAAAACATTGTATTCGCGAGGAAATCCTCCAAGTTATAAAAATCCATTAAAAGAAGCCATGTTTGTGTCACATGACCTGGCTGTCGCAGTACCTAGCAACAGGAGCGACAGTCGGAAGAGAATTCATTTAATCGCTGTCCATTTATCATAAATATCGAAGCCTTAGTAAATTCTCGGATCATCCCCTGTCCGTCTTTTCCCGTGGTTTTTATCTCGGAAACTTTTTCCACGTCCGCTCGCCATCAAGTTTATCAACATATACATCAAGCACTCCCTGACACCAAGAGTTCAGGCAATCTACTCGTGGAACCTTTGACGTTACTCGAGCCAACAGCCCTTCATCGTCAGGCTGTCGATTACTATACACTCCCTCTCTCTCTCTCTTGCCTTGTACGAGCCCCATGGGTGTATTTCAAGGAATCTGTTATTTTTCTAGTAAGATTGGATATTTTTACTACCATATACACCAAAATTGCCATATTTTTTTTGCAAATAACCACCCGATAAATACTTTTCTTGGAAAAGAGAGAGAGAGAGAGAGAGAAATGGGGTTTAACGTCCACTCGACACAAACTAGGTCATTTTGGGACTAACATATGGTTTAATTTTATTTCAATAACTCGCTTGCGCGCAGGGGTCTTTAGCAGTGGGAGGAAACCGGAGGACCCGGAGAAAACCCACGAGGTTGGACAGGCGACCCTACTCCTTGTCACGTACAACCGGGGATTCGAAACCACGCCAGTCGACTCAATGACAGACTTTATGATACAGCGCGCGCACGCTAACCATTCAACCATTCAGCCATCCAACCCCCCTTTTCTTGGAAAATACTTAAAAAAATTATTCATGTTTTTTGCTTGAACAATTCTTACTCTTGATCCGGTGGCGTGAAAAATCCCTTGAAATGTATAACAAAACTCGTGGTATTAAATTACACATAAAAATGCATGGTAAACTTAATATCATGTCAACCTAAAGTGACCGTTCTAGTTTAGTCGGTATTTTGATCATTTTTTTTTTCTTTCAAAGCTTCATAACGTTATACTCTTCAAAAAAAAGATAGGTTGCCAGGCAACGAAACATACGCCCACAGCAGCTATATCGTCCGGGCAGTCAACAAGAGTTGTCGCATATTTTTACTTTTTTCGGTAATGAAACATTTATAATACATTAAAATCTGATTAAGAGTAACAACTCATTAAGTAATTATCAAAAAAAACCATTAGAATATGTTTGGTTTTTATAAAGTTCTGCCCCATACGAAACTTATAACATCATGGATTTAGCTGTTCAAGTCATAAAAAAATTCATTGAAAATCAATAGGCTTCTTCGTCTCATGACCTCAAACACTGTGTATCAATTAAAAGTCAATCGGGTATTAACTTTAGCCTCTAGAGCGTCCACAAGATATTTCAAGGTGATCAAGGGCCATAACTATAGCATTAATTATCGGAAATCGCTGAAAATCAATAGGATTCTTCGTCTCATGACCTTAAACACTGTGTATAAATTTAAAATCAATCAGATATTAACTTTAGCCTCTAGAGCGTCCACAAGATATTTCAAAGTGATCAAGGGCCATAACTCTGACAGTAATTATCGGAAATCGCTGAAAATCAATAGGCTACTTCGTCTCATGACCTTAAACACTGTGTATAAATTTAAAATCAATCCGATATTAACTTTGACCTCTAGAGCGTCCACAAGAATTTTTTGAAGTGATCAAGGGCCATAACTCTGGCAGTAATTATCGAAAATCGCTGAAAATCGATAGGCGTCTTCGTCACATGACCTTAAACACTGTGTATAAATTGAAAGTCAATCGGATATTAACTTTAGCCTATAGAGCGTCCACAAGCAATTGTGGGCGCCGGACCGACGGACCGACGGACGGAAGGGGTGACAACAATATACGATCACATTTCAATGTGGGCGTATAAAAAGAAACGCACAGCCGATATTTCATAATTCTTTTTTATTTGAACGGGATCGTTGTTTACATAAATCTTACTTGTTTTTTAATGGCATTTATGTAAGAATAAAAGAAATTCATTATTGGTTTTAAATATACGGTCACTAATTGTGACTGGTCATAATTTTTGCCGAAATTTATTTTGTCTTGATTGCACCAAGACACATGAGTTTAACAACTTCGCAAGCTTTTCGAATGAGACCCAAATCTAAGACCTTTCAATCCAGGGATTCTCGGTTTCAAAATCCGTTGCACATGTAAACACTCAACGAGCGAAGTGGTCGGTTACACGCCGTTGAATACTAGACAGGTGTAGCCAGGCTGCTGAATGTTTCCCAGAGTACCATATCTCGCCTTTGGGATAGGTACCGACAGCGAAGTTCAACACGTGACCGCCCAAGTTCAGGCCAAACAAGATCGTCACATCTGGTTACGTTAATTGCGGAAACGGTTTGCAACAGCGACCTCTACTGAAGCAGCAATTCCTGGACAGCATAGGATCTCAGACCAGACAGTCCATAGATGCCTACGTGAAACCGTATTACGAGCCAGACGTCCCGTTAGAGTTGTTGTTTTGAAATACACCGACACAGTCTCACACAAAAACTTTTGGTCTTGAAAGGAATTATTAGTGAGCAGAAATTCGGCCGTGTATCTGTTATCACTCGTCACATCAGTCAGTTATATAGAGGTATGACTCGTGTTTTCCTTTGGCGTTCGTCACTTCCGATTCAGGAAACCTGTATTACTCAGCTATCGTAGCAATGATCTCTGTGTTAAAATTATATTAGTTCTATCACATATCTGATAATGACTGACAACAATATTGTCCTTTAATAGTCAGTACTAATTACTTTGTTTATTACAAATGGTGATCGAAACAATAAAATACACGACTCCGGTAGTGATTGTAAATGTTCACTCTATCATAAATTTTGTATATTAGGATCCCATATTGTCACGACAAGATCACAACATCAATATTGATTGAAATGAGCCAATATTGAATTTGAATTCGTGTTTTTAATTTTAAATGTCATGGAAATATCGAGTTAGAGGTTTACAGTCTGAGCCGTCGTAAATTTTAAACGGATTTCTTCGATTATGAACAAACTACTTAACTTTGGTTATTATAAACTTACCTGTGTGTTTGATATCAACTCCCGTTAAATAAAATCCATTGCACAACTAAATATCCCAACGAATAAAAAAGTTCTCTCTTGAAACATTTGACGTATTTACTTGAGTTCAAGACAATATGAGTTTCGTCGCGTGTTGGGCGAAACCAATGTAGCGGGGGTGGTTTGATATTGACAGATAGTTTGACAACCACGTGTTGCAATTAAAACAAAGCGCGATCATTGCGATCATTTGTGTTTGCGCAACGAAAAATATCAACTGAAGGCAATTATTATTACATAGGAGATTTATATTGAAACCATTGATCGCCAGTCTATTAAATTTGATTCACAATGAAAGTATCACTGATTGCGCGGATATTCATAAAAATAAAGTCATATATAAACTAAAAATTTCCTATCTTTTTTATGTTATAAATAATTTAACAAGGATCATGAAGCTCACCACCGAAATTTCCGTGTGTATTGTCAATTTGATAGCACTCTTTCGATCAAATAATAACCGCTTTCAATAACATTTATAAGGATCATGAAGCTCACCACCGAAATTTCCGTGTGTATTGTCAATTTGATAGCATTCTTTCGATCAAATAATAACCGCTTCAATAACATTTATAAGCGTGTTGCGGCCGCCCTCAAAGTGCCTATTGAGTGCATGGGTTTATAATGCGTATTACATTGTCAGCCCATAGTTGTAAATACTCTGTATAAATCTATATATTATCATTGTATACATCATATTAAAGTATTAAAGATAGTCATGCGTAATATTTAAGGCCCGTAAAATGAATGTAATTGTTTTTGTCTAGCATGAGTGCTGTTCAAAAGAAAATTGCCCCATCCGAATCTCTAATCAAATAATTAAAACAAAATATTTCGAAAGTTCAAGTTACAAACTTTTGCAGAGATTTTACTAGAATGTAAAAAAAATGGTAACACGATAAAGGAATACGGGCAGTTATGTGTGTGAGCGCCCAAACTCAATACCGAGCCGAGACTTATAGCTTATTCTTATACAAAACTTGAATGGTCGTAATAGTACCGAAAAACGTTTCGATTTGCCATGCTGTCACCCCTTTATACGAAATGATATCTCCCGAAGAGTGACGTATTTTTCTGTGTAGAACGTTTGTGGGATTTCAATTTGTCAAGAGAGAACTTTTTTCTTCGTTGAGATATTTAGTTGTGCAATGGATTTTATTTAACAGGAGTAAATTTCATACATAAAGACAGGTAAATTAATAATAACCAAAGTTAAGTAGTTTGTTCATAATCTAGGAAACCCGTTTAAAATTTACGATGGTTAAGACAGTAGCTCCTTTAACTTTATTGAGCAAGCTACCAAACCTCCGTATGCCACTGATAACCTGTGTTGTGTTTCACTGTCGGTCAAAGGAGTTTCCGACGTGGTTTCCCCTTGTCAGTGGTGCAGGACGGAGGGCCTCCCGAGAACAGCTGTCTAGTCTTTCGGATGGGACGAAAATCCGAGGTCCCGTGTATATATTGGCGTGCACGTAAAAGATCCCTTGGCAGTTGGAATTCGATATAGTAGTAGGCCATGGTGCCGCTGCCCGGGCAAAATTTCCTTCATAGCACACTGTATGGCGTATGCCCGTCTTCATTAGCCCAGTTAGAGTAGAACAGTGGGACGTTAAACCCCGTTTCATTTCATTTCTGTCGGCCAATAAGTAAACAGACTTAACCATTCCAAACAACAATTTATTTATATCGTGCGATTCCCATCAATAGACGAAATAACACACTACGTCGACCCAAGTCGATACTTTATTTGGACAATTTTCAGGCGTGGTGCCCCCCTTGACAGTGGCGCAGGGCAGATGGCCTGGAAAGGGGCAACGTAAACTCATTCGGAGGGGACAAAAACTCGAGGCAACGTGTACACATTTGCGTGTACGTAAAAGAACCATTAACAGATGGAATTCGATATAAGAGTAGGCCGTAGTGCCGCTACCCGACACAATTTCCCCCATAGCACACTGTATGGCGTATACCCGTCTTCATTAGCCCAGTCGGAGCAGAAAAGTGGGACTTTAATCCCCATTTCATTTCATTTCATTTTGACGTCCTTTAGCTTCTTTAAAATCTACAACATGGGCATGTATTCACCGAGGATTTTTTTCGTATTTCACCGTATCACAATAACAAAGCCTCCATTGTGGGCTTACAGAAAGGTTGTTAGGAGTCCTGCAATGGTTCAACATAGTATTACAGCTCATAAGAAAAGACCTTTCATGGCTGAATATAGTATAAAGGCTCATAAGAAATGAAATGAAATGGGGTTTAACGTCCTACTGTTCTGCTCCTAAACTGGGCTAATGAGACGGGCATACGCCATACAGTGTGCTATGAGGGAAATTTTGCCCGGGCAGCGGCGCTACAGCCTACTCTTATATCGAATTCCAACTGCCAAGGGATCTTTTACGTGCACGCCAATGTGTACACGGGACCTCGGTTTTTCGTTTCACCCGAACAACTAGACAGCTGTCCTTGTCAGGCCCTGCGTCCTGCATCACTGACAAGGGGGAAACCACGCCGGAAAATCACGATGAACTTTCTCGGCAAATGCAGGGATCGAATACGCGACCTCCATAGAGCGCACCATTCCTCTCAAATTGACAGAATACATTATATCCACTGTTACCAAAGGTAGCCAGAACGTACACCTAACCCTCGGTCCATTGAAGTTATCTAACCTTGGTAATAGTCAGACTAAATACAAACAGATATATGTTGACTGTGTTCATACGAAACTTACTCAGTATGACTACAATCATCCCCTCTTGACAACTGTACACGAAGCTTGTTGGTCGACATTAGAGACTTTTGGCAAGCGTAAATTCCTGGTCCGTATCACGTATTCGTATGGGTTTTGTGTGTGACGTCATCAATGTGTGTGTATTTCGCATACGTGATACGGCACACGGATACGGCAGCGCGTATCGAACAACTTTCATACGGAAAAGGTCCGTATAACATTTTCATCTTTTTAGCGTCTTTTGTGCTACTTTTAGACGCTGAAATGTTATATCATAGCGTTTTTATGAATATATGTGTATTCTAGAACACGAAGGTGAATGTTTGATGTGATTTTAACCAAGATAAGGACTGGAATTTAATCATTATTTTTTGATGGGTTTTTTTATCGGAATTTTCATACTTTTCCTGTCTGTCTGCATGCTGGTTGATCTACGTGCTAAATTTAGGGGGCTGGACCTTGCGAATCTGTAAATGATTTTATTCTATGGTAAAGGGTATAAACTTTCTGAAATGATACATTAGTGAAACCAAAATTATTTAAATTTTTTAATAGCTCAGCGACGGTCGAGCGACTTCGCTCCCTCTTGGACATTTTAGGCTAGATACTCTGTCATCATGCTGTAATAGAACTAAGCTCGCAGCTCAGCGACGCATTAGTACGCGACGCGAAAATCGGCCAAAACTCTAAAACTACATTGACGCAACGTATCACGTATACAATACGGATACGTGATACGGATGGGAAAAATTCCGCTTGCCAAAAGTCTCTATTGTAATTCTTACGTCGACAATGTTAGTATACTACGAGAATTCATTATTTTTCTTCTGTTTTCATATTTAATCAAATTGAAAACTGATTATTTAGTTTTGTAAAGACATAAAACGGATTAGAAACTCATAACAAAATGGCCTAGACTGGGGTTTTCAACAGGGGAGTCGTTCAGGGCAGGGATCCATTCTAGATAGTTCTATGGGTGCAGAATGAACCGCGTTCTCTCCATTCTAAGCATAAAGGGTGTAAAACACCTGATCCATTATTAATACCGCCTAGAAGGGGGAAATAATAACGAACTAAATCGCTCTTTAAGGAAGTAATGGCAGCCCGTTTTTACCGTTCGGTAAATTTACAGACCTCCGTCATAGGGACATAAAGGCCAACTCGGGGCGTCTGTTAAAGAGTCAGTTTACAAGACCCTAACCCTAACCCTAGCGCAACATCGGTTCACCACACACACGGAGACTTTAAATCAACAAAACGAAATAATATTTCACGATATTCTGGATAACCGAGCCTAAAACATACCATAAGATACATATTCTGTGTCCATATAACGTCGTTGTGTCCATATAGTAGAGGTTATAAATGTACCGAACGGTAAAACCGGGTTGCCGTTTACCTCCTTATTTCGTTATTATAACCCCCTTCTAGACGGTAATGATATTGGGACAGGTGGTGTAAATCAAAGGAGCTCTGTCCATAATACTTATTTGCATCAAACTGATTTGTAAGTTCTTATGATAGGAGGTTAAATCAATATAATGGTGACAAGAATTCCATTTAGTTCCATTTTATATCAAGTTAATATAGTTTCAACTAGGTTTTTTTTTCTATTTTCAGACCACAAAAGCCGACATCAATATAATAATGGCAAGGATAATTCCAAGATGCAGCATTGCGAAATATTTAAAATATACTGTAGTCCTTCTTATTATATATCTAATTGTGGACTGTGTACATACGTGGAAAACACCGAAAAACAATTACATAAGGGACCTCAGTTCGATGTCAATCGATACAAACATGATGATAAATAAAGTATTAAAATCTTACGTATTGGAGTCGGCATCGCCAAAGAGAAGTTTCGATCCAAAAGAAAGCATAGATCCAATGCCGAACGACAAAAATGAAACCCAATCTTCAAACAACACCTATAACAATCCTATTGTAAAAGGTGGTAGTTTGAAGCAAAATTTAAAAAACAAATATGTGAATCTTGACAAAACTGTCAATCAAGTATTCAATGACAAAACTGTCAATCAAGCGAATCAAGTAATAAATAATAAAAATGTCAATCAAGTAACAAATAACGTAACTGTGAATCCAATTTTTAACGGTGATTATTTATTAAATAATGTGAGTGTATGTCCAGATAATTTAACAATTATCATAGTCGTTCATACGGCTCCAGATCATTTCATCCGTCGACAAAATATTCGTACAACGTACGGTTCAAGTACTACGTTCTTACCGTTCAACATCCGAACTGTGTTTCTGATAGGGAGAGTGAAAACTGTGGATCTAATAGTTAAAATTATGAAAGAGCATATTGAGTATGGTGATATCATTCAAGGAAATTTTATCGACACTTACCATAATTTAACATATAAAGCAGTCATGGGTCTACATTGGGTTTCACATTATTGTTCAAAAGTGAAATATGTAGTTAAAGTTGATGATGACGTCGTCTTTGATATGTGGAAGTTCTTAGAGGTGTTCCCTGCTCATAATCTACATGCTTCCAAGGCAATCTTTTGTAGGACAACATTAAAGGGGATTGTTCCTCGAAAAGGAAAGTGGACTGTGCCGAAAGATGTTTTGGTGGGATATAGTCATTTCCCTTACCCATTTTGTCACGGTATGGTTATGATTTATAGTGGGGACACAATTCCTCTTCTTTACCGAGCTTCGTACACAGTTTCTTTCTTTTGGCTGGATGATGTGTTTGTGACGGGAATGTTGGCCAACAAAGCTGGGGGAATCAAAATTATATCACAAACGAAAGATTTAATAATGGATCCAAGAATACCCGGATTTAAATGTTTACGAGAAAAGGGAATAAATTGTCACGTATTAGCAGTCACTGTGTCAGAGGATTCATACAATGCCACGTGGTTCGAGTTAATGAAGCGACATTTTAAAACGACACCGGTTGGACAAAACAGTACAACGTTTACCCCTCATTCTTGAATTACATGCAATCAATCGTGATTTCTCTTGTGAGATATTAGTTTATCGTCCAATAACACATTCTATAGTAGATATCGCTTGTGTGATAAATTACATAATATCCTAAGGAGATATCGCTTTATATGAATTTGATTGTTCAATTAAAAAGGAACTACTTTCTTTTAGTTTAAAGAAACCACTTTTTTAAAATAAAAAGTAACTTCTTTTTTTTTATTAAAAAGAAACTATTTTTATTTAATTGACCTTGAAGGAAACACTGGGTCAATATATAGGACTTTGCAATAGGTAAATTGCTGTCAAAAATGATGTGTCACTACGCTGTAATGTAATCAGGTTCAGTATAAGTGAAAGAATTATATTTATCTATTTGTGCAGGTAAGAAATGGTTGGGTGATAAATAAAATCTCCTACTCGTCTTTTTTGATGTCAAAAAATATCAACACCCGTCGATAAGGACACGTAGGGGATTCTCTATTTAACGCCCTTGTAAAAAGCCGGTGTTAAGATATAACTGATTATTTAATCAAATGTCAAGTGAAAACCAATAATATAACTAGAATTAGTGAGCAAACCGACTTTCAGTTAATCTTATAGAACTCAACTTATCACTAATCAAAGCCGGCGTTAAGATGTCAACTGATTATTTTTTTAAGCGTCAAGATAAAGATGAAATAAAATCACTAACAAGACGACTTCCGGTTAATATTATACAGCGCCACTAATCTCTAATCAACATAAAATAACAAATCAATCTAATGCTTTAATTTAATTTTACCAGAAGCAATGAACTGACTCAAGTGTGGCGATTGTCAGTTCCGTCTTAAAAATCTCAAAAATCTCAAACCTTACCTTGCAAAACGGAAAAATCACCCCCCCCCCCCCTCCCCTGCTCAGCTACATAAATATTTTTGTAAATCAACACTTTTTAGGAGAACAGTTTCTCGGCCGTGTTTTTTATCCTTTATCGTCAGATGTGAGACAGGGTGGGCATTCAAAGCACGAGATAATGATATAGACATTATGTGGTATCATGATTAATGCTTTGCATCCATGAATTTGAATCACAATGTCATTGTATTAATTCGTAATAAAAATTGACGTCAAACGAGGTGTTGAATTTCTCTGTTTAAAAAGCTCAATGTGTATATGTACATGTATATACGCCAAAATGACGATAGAGACCATGCGGGAGGGGGTTATGTATTCCCGTGCGAGAACAAGATTAGTGTCAGCCAATATTATATATGTGATTGTCTGGTTAAATACATTCCAAATATAATTCTAATACAAAGATCTATGCTATAGTTGATCCGTATCACAGATTTGAGGAATGAGGAAGTAATTCAAAAAAGGAAAACACGAGATATTCTTACTATTAAAATAAAGAGTGATAACCGATACACGGTCTGATAATTCCGTTGTAGTCGAAACGTTGTTCAGAACGAGCTATACATGCACCTAAAACGAATTGACTGTCATAAGATAAGTTGCACATTATAAGCAATGATTATAATTTATTCCGGCAATTCTATAACTATAGACATACTATTATTTTAGTTTCCTTGCGACTGTCTTGGGGATCACGTTGCTAAGTCGGTAAGACGCTGGCTCGCTAGCCTGGAAGTCGGGTGTTCGATTCCTGCATTGGCCGAGAAAGTTCATCCAGATTTTCGGGCGTGGTTCCTCCATGTCAGTGATGCAGGACGGAGGGCCTGACAAGGACAGCTGCCTAGTCGTTCGGGTGGGACGAAAAACCGAGGTCCCGTGTACACATTGGTGTGCACGTAAAAGATCCCTTGACAGTTGGAATTCGATATAAGAGTAGGCCGTAGTGCCGCTGTCCGGGCAAAATTACCCTCATAGCACACTGTATGGCGTATACCCGTCTTCATTAGCCCAGTTCGGAGCAGAACAGTAGGACGTTAAACCCCATTTCATTTCATTTCATTTTGCGACTGTCTCCGCCACATGGATTAATAATCGCAATATTGCAATGGAGACCAAAGAGAAACATTTTAAGCCTACCGCTTGTTCAGTAATGCTTGGCTTTTTTACTGGTGAATTTTGTACTGCCATAGATACATATCAAATATTTTAAAAAATCCGAGACAAGTATTTTCAAAACGGTATATCATTACAAAACAATGTGAATTATAACGAAATGTTTAAACGATTTAAGATTTAACACGTCGACCAATGAACCCAATGCTTCACACAAAACTTAAAAATAGAATACGTTAAAAAAAAAAAAAGCAAAAAAAAAAAGCAGTTGTGTTATTATCTATTGTTTTCAAAACGCGAAACCAATCTTATTCAGCATTCCTATACATAGTTGCCCGCACCCTTTCTTTCTTCCAAATACCTTGTGAACGCGATAAAGAGAGAGAGAGAGAAATGGGGTTTAATGTCCACTCGACACAAACTAGGTCATTTCGGGACTAACACATGGTTCAATTTTTATTTCAATAATTCGCTTACACGTAGGGGTCTTTAGCAGTGGGAGGAAACCGGAGGACCCAGTGAAAACCCACGAGGTTCAGAGCAATTTTAGTATGCCGGATTAAGTAGCCCCGACTTGTTACGGATGAGCAAAGATCTTTTGTAGCCCCGACTTGTTACGGATGAGCAAAGATCTTTTGGATTAAAATTATACTTGCAGTGGCTTTAACCAGGATTATCATATATATAATATTGGCTGATGCCAACATTTGTTCGTTAATGGGGAAATATAATACAGAAATATTAAAGATGAACGTAAAAGCTAATTCTGACTATTGCAGATCTTTCGCCTGGCCTCAAATGTTAAAATATAAATCAATAATTAGACATTTATTCGTATATGCCAAGCCCAAAATCAACTATCTAGATGATCGGAAGGTTGTGATTTTCAACGGATTTAAGTACGGTCGTCAGTTAATAATTCAATTTAAAAAATTAATAATCGAGACTCTGTATACTATCGTAGCAACGGTGGCAATGAAAATCGAGACAGAAATTTTCAGCATATTCCCTTTTTATTATGTATTTTATATAAAATTACAAAATGCATTTTTAATTGAATATTGAAAGTTCCCGTCGACTAGGAGGCTGGGTGTGTCACTTCAACACCAAAGGCCCTTTATATAAAAATTACATAATGCATCTTTAATTAAATATTGAAAGTTCCCATCGACTAGGAGGCTGGGTGTGACACTTCAACACCAAAGGCCCTTTATATAAAAATTACATAATGCATCTTTAATTAAACATTGACAGTTCCCATCGACTAGGAGGCTGGGTGCGACACTTCAATACCAAAGGTTATTCGTGCATCAGATTACTATCGGGTGTGGTTAGAACGAATTGAAAATCACGAGATGATTGCATATACTTGTATTATATGTTACATAGACCATAAGTAAAGAAAGATGGGTGAATTAAAGTAATGAATGACCCATTGATCGATTTTTTTTAAACAAGCATCCTTATTATAACATTAATGGTAAACATTATTGATTCTCTACTTATTGGATGGGGTGGTAAGCAGCGCTTCGATATTCTTACTTAATATTATATTCAAGCAATTCATCTAATACGCGTATTATTATTTACCTTCTTTGCTTAAAGGGGAATTAGGGAAGATTAGATAAAGAGCTCGCTATAATTAGTTAAAATAGATAATGTACAGAAAATATGCTGAAAATTTCAGTCAAATGGCTTCAATTTGAACCTAGGCTAGCCTCGATCGTCATTACTACCGTTGTTATGATAATAAACAAATTCTCGATTGTTCATTTTTGCGGTTATTACATCCACAACAAAACGTATTCAAATCCACTAAATATTACAGGCTAAGGTTGGCATCGAGAGTTGATTATAGTCTTGATAGATTACATAATGTCTAATTAATACACATTTTTAAAGCCTAAAGAAAGTCTTGCAAATAGGCAGATTTAGCTCTTGCATAATTGTATTAATATTGCTAGAATTTTTGCTCTTGAAATTAATGGTGGCAGTATATTTCATTAATTATTATCTTTGGCAAGTTGGTAGATTCACATATATGTAGAATTGTACTTAAATCATCTTACTTAAAAACTGACGGGTTGACACATAAAGTGTAAATAATGTAATTAAATCAACCTGTCCATAATATCATATTCATTGTATTGGACGTTAAATCTGTGATAAACAACAACTACATATATTGTTGTCTACGATATCACCTTAGGTGGAAATGGACGTAAAACTCTAGAAACGAACGAACGAACATATATGTTATCATTTGCTTGATAAAGACGAGACTATCATTGTCAAAACCTTGCATTTTAATAAACCAGTAATTGTTATTCCATAAATAGTGTTAGTGTGCTATAACGGGATGTTTTGTTACAGATACATTATGTACGATCTACATATAAATCTGTCTGTCACAGGTCTTAGTTTGGCTTCAAATGTTATTATAAACCATTATTTACACATGTATTAACATGACAAGCCCATAATCAACTCTTTAGACTATCGGATTTAAATTTATTTTGCATTTTGAACTATTGTCAAATTCGTTTCGCTCCATGTATTATGAAGATATAATGTTTTTAATTACATGTATATTTTTCGTGTTTCCCATGGGTATGCTCGTCAATCGATATTTACAGATACATAATATACCCTAATATATAAACTATTATAGCAAGAACGGCATACTTTTTACCCAAATCTTACATAATGTATCTTTAATATATAAACTTTAATAGCAAGAACTGGAAAGTTTCTAACTTTAATCAAATCCATGTATTCAAAAATCGTGGCTCGCGTAAAATTTCTTGGTAATTATTCTGATTATTTTCATTTAACCACTGGTTTTATGCAAGGGGACTCCCTTTCCCCTACTCTTTACTCCCTATATGTCAGAGACGTTGATGGGACATTAGAATCTGGGAATTGCAAACACTTGACAGTAAATGATGTAAACTTATATTTACTTATGACGCGGTGTTGTTAAGCGAATCCTCATAAAACTTTAAAAAAAAAAAACCATGCTATATACTATAAGCAATTATTGTTATGAAAATAATCTCAATGATAATGTATATTGGAGATAGAAAAAATCAGATAATACAGTAAAGTGAGATTAGGCAGAACTGATTTAAACGGTCATGAGATTTTAAGACAGTTAACTTATGGTCCAGTCTGTGCGCGTGGACATCATTTTGAAGATGTTTACCATTATATGCTCCATCCATTCGAGTGTCCGTGGACAAACTATTGATTTTCTTGTACTACTATTACATTGGTATCATAAAATAAAATAAAACAAATAAAATAAAAGAACGGAACGGACAACTGTATATATGTATAAATGGTTAGTTTATATTTTAGTCCCAAATGATTTGTATATTTTACATGTATATATTGATTATTATGTTCTTGTTGTGCAATGTTATGTATGTGTATTAAATTTATTTTTGTAAATTCTGGAGAGGAGTCATCATAGACTTAGCCTGTTCTCCAATCCATTTTCAAATGAAATAAAATATTGTTTACAAAAAATAAATGAAAATAAGTGTGAAATAGTTATCTATAAAAATGGTGGTAAAATTAGAGATAATGAAACCTGGACATATGGAGGAAAGATGTTGAAATTGTAAAATCATTTAATTATCTCGGGGTGTTCTTTAAATATACACTTCAAAAAAAGTTGGGGATATTGAAATGCAAATGTCTATGCAGGTTGCGATATGATAAATAGCCATGGACATTTGATATGCTTTGAGAGTATGTTCACAGATGAAGAACTTATCGCCCCAACAGAACCACTGAGCTGCACATGCGACACGCAATAGCGCCATACACGTGGGAGGGGTTCATTGTCAAATTTGACACTTCAAGGAAGGGTTGATGAAAACTGCCGCGTGCTGCTTTATCTATCCATGTTTGCTTTCCTATCGGTTCTTGCATACGATTTGCTGTTTAGCGTATCTTTGCTTTAGTGTGTTACGTTTAATTTTATCGGGAGACGTGTTCGTCGACGTCAACGTCAACGGACAACACTGCAAGAATTGGCCGTGGCAGTCCAAGAGGAGTGGGTCAGATTACCCCAAATCGTGATTGGACGGTTGATTAGGAGCATGCCACGTCGAATTGCTGAATGTCTGGGGATTGGTGGAGCAATTACTCATTATTAAGACAAAAATCAAAAATGTCCATTTTCACTTTTGACGGTGTATCTCTTTGCAAGTGAAATGGGGGCCGTCAGATAAGCCGCCCATATGAACTGTTTATGTTCATGTGTAGCCAATTGGCCTGTTATTAACATACACTGCATTTCCGCAGTTTTGTATTGTTTCTGAATATCCCCTACTTTTTTAAAAAAATGAAATGAAATGAAATGGGGTTTAACGTCCTACTGTTCTGCTCCTAAACTGGGCTAATGAAGACGGGCATACGCCATACAGTGTGCTATGAGGGAAATTTTGCCCGGGCAGCGGCGCTACGGCCTACTCTTATATTGAATTTCAACTGCCAAGGGATCTTTTACGTGCACGCCAATATGTACACGGGACCTCGGTTTTTCGTCCCATCCGAACGACTAAACAGCTGTCCTTGTCAGGCACTTTTTTTAAGAGTATATAATGGTCTATTCAGTCTTACCCAAAAGACACCTGCACAACCAGCTTCTACGGCATGTTTTGGTTTACGCAAAGCATAATCCAGGAATATCATTTTGACTTGCAAACTTCAGTAGCCCTATTTAACACCTGTATAGTCCCGTATTCAATTATGGGATTGGGGTGTGGGGTTAGCATTCTGCAGATGACCAGGAAAAAGTAGAGTTAATAAACCTGGAGCCCAAGGGGAGGTCAGCCTAGCTGAAAAACGTACCAATTGTCTTTTATTTGGTATCAATGCGTGAATATCTGGTATCATCAGAATGTGAGTCTGTCGGGTAGCTTGGGGTGGGGGTGGTATTGCACGCCCAAAATTCCATGCCCCCCAACTAGGCTAGATTAGCTCAAAAGTGTACCACATGAAAATCGTACTGCAGTGTACCGTACATCTTTAGGTATTACAAACACACTCTGACAGACATTTCTAATCGTGGGGTACCCCTGACAGACCTATGTATCCCTGCCAAGAGTTATCTAATTCCCAGACTACAGCTAGGCTAGATTAGCTGAAATCTGTACCACCTAAATGAGTTTTGGAGTTGTTCAGTACCTCCACAGGAATCATGAATGACCACTGCCAGACAATTTGTGCGGTGGGTTACCCCTAACAGACACGCCCCAAACTGCCACGCCCACAACTAGGATAGATTTCATACATGAATTTAGACTGCAAGATTCAAAATGTACAAAGTGTTATATGTGTTTCTACTAGATGTTACTGTCTATAAAATAATGATTAACTACAATATTACCTTTGTAAAAATGTAATACATAAAACATTAATATGTAAATATAGAATTTGTGCTCATGATTTACAGAAGGAGAATGGGCGGGGGATATAGCAATATTGGTAGAAATAATAGAACATGTAAATCATATAACTGTGATGAAATTGAAGACGAGTTTTATGCTCTGTTAAATTATTCATCTTATCAGAGAAAATATCGAAAATTACTATTGGTTAAACTAAATTGGAATTGCTATTAAAAAGTACCAATGTCAAAACTCTAAATAATTATATATTATGACGATTAATGTCTAAAAGTAGTTATTATTATTTTATATGAATTAAATACTATTTATATGTTCACCTTCCATCACCTTATTCTAACATAATGCACCTTTGATAAAACTATTATATCAAGAACGCCCAGCTGTTTTTCTGCCTCTTGCATAATGTACCTTTAATATGATATAAACTACATTGGTATTGGTATATTTATGTAAACAACGGCTTAAGCCATAATAATATAAAGAATTTTCTGTGTTTTTTCGTATTTTTTTGTATTAAATAATCCGTAGTGCGAATATCATACCGATATAAAGGGATGTACATTATGTAATGTACCTTTATTTAATAATATAAACTACAGGAATTACAATAGTGGTCAGCCACTATAATGTATTACATGTACAAACAAAACACAGAATGTACATTTATTTCTAAAACGACAATACACCGTATATTGAATATTATGCTGAAGCCATTTCGCATTTTGTGGATTTATGATTTTTTGTTTTTGATTTAATGTAGATTATGAGATTATGATTAATGTAGTAAAATTAAGTCAATTTGTTTTTTGTCGAGTTGCACTTTTGTGAATAAAAATAAAACCAAAGGCGTATGACAAAAGCCTTTATCTGTATGTTTATTATCTACCTCGGGGATCACGTGGCTAAGTGGGTAAGACGCTGGCTCGCTAGCCTGGAGGTCGGGTGTTCGATCCCTGCATTGGCCGAGAAAGTTCACCCAGATTTTCCGGCGTGGTTCCCCCTTGTCAGTGATGTAGGATAGATGGCTTGACAAGGACAGCTGTCTAGTCGTTCGGATGGTACGAAAAACCGAGGTCAAGTGTACACATTGGCGTGCACGTAAAAGATCCCTTGGCAGTTGGAATTCGATATAAGAGTAGGCCGTAGCGCCGCTGCCCGGGCAAAATTTCCCTCATAGCACACTGTATGGCGTATACCCGTCTTCATTAGCCCAGGTTAGGAGCAGAACAGTAGGACGTTAAACCCCATGTCATTTCATTTCATTTCATTTATTATCTCCCCACGAATGGATTAACCCATATGGTGGACGTGGGGCAGTTTTCTAATCTACTCTCTCCAGAATGAAGGTTTTGTTTGCATCGGTGGAGATTTTAACTCACGGGGTGGAGATCAGGCTGATGAGTATAATTAGGCGTTGATGAAGTACCACAAAGATCTGTTCTAGACAACACAGAAAACAGTTATGAACACAATTTGTTAACTTTCTTTGTGACACTAATTTCTGTATGTTAAACGGTCGTATTCCCGGACAAAATGATTATACATACGTCAGTACAACAGGTAGATCACTCGTCGACTATGTTGTTGTTCCACATGAGCAGCTAGTCTTTATTCAGATTTTCAAGTTTGGGGAATGCCTGAACTGATTCAACGTTTTGACATAGCCGTTCCGGAAAAAAAATACCCGATCATTCCTTACTCGAGTTATTAAATCAATTTTCAAGCAATAACACACGGGACTTTTGGTAATCCTTTGATAAAATAGGTATCGCGAATGAGCGAAAACGTGCAATTCCACTGGAAGTGCTCGACTCTGACGGTCGACTTGTGACGGACACGGAAACGGTTTTGAGGCACTGGAAAGATAATGTTTCTCCGCTATACAATATCAATCCTGATTTGAGTGAATTCGACGAAGAGCACCTGCACGGTATACAAAATCAAGTGTTTTCATCTATTGAATCAGAAACTGTAGAGAATTGTGGTGTACTTTATAAAGCCATCTCTGTGGCTGAAATTAAAAATGTAATAGATGACGCTTTGAAAACAGCGTAGTCCATGAAAATTGGAACATGAGTTTTATAAATCCCATTCTGAAAGCAAATACAGACAAGCATGTGCCTGTTTATATACAGACGTCCTAAACGCTAGAATTAGCAAATGGTGTGAAAATAATGAAAGTTTTGTAGAAGAGCAAAATGGCTTTCGCAAAGACAGAAATTGCACTGACCATTTATTTTCACCCACCAGTGTAGTTAGAAACCGATTCAAAGCTAAGCAATCCACATTTTGCTGTTTTGTGGATATGAAATCAACCTTCGATAACGTAAATAGAGACTGTTTGTGGTATAAAATCCGAAAAACGGGCATAAGTTGTCCATGTTGTAAAGGCACTATAGAACGATGTTAGGTGTTCTGTTTGTGTAAATGGTCGGCTTACTCCTTGGTTTGATGCAAAAGTGAGCATTAAACAGGGCTTCTCATTGTCTCCACTACTTTTTTCTATCCACGTTAACGATCTAGCTACAGCTATAAATGACTTAAATTGTAGCGTTGATATTGATAATTGTATGTTGGTATTTTTTTAATTGCACCGTCAGAAGACAAATTGTAAATTATGCTAAATGAAATTAGTTCTTGGTGCTACAAATGGCGTTTGTCTGTAAATCAGTCAAAGACTAAAATTGTACATTTTAGACCATCTACATGGCAAATATCGGCGAGAATATTTACTATTGGAAATTTAAATATTGATTATTGTAAAGTACTTAGGATTATGGCTAGATGAGCATTTGGATTTTAAATTGTGTGTTAATGAACTAGCCAAATCAGCAAGCAGAGCTCTGGTGGCCCTTTGTTCAAAAACACTTCCAGGCAAGAGGATTCCCATATAGCATATTCACTAGACTCTTCGAATCTTTGGTTCAACCCATCATTCTCTATGGGTCTGGAATTTGGGGCATTACTGAGCACCATAAATTGAACAGTGTCCAAAATCGAGCAATGGAAGTCTTCCTGGGTCTAAAACGAAACAGCCCAAACTTAGAAGCTAGGGGTGTTATGGGATGGACTTGGTGAGAGAACAG